AACCAGGGCTATGCCATTCATCTTCATATTCAGCACTTGCACACTGAATGTTGTTCGTAATTAGGTGCTGTCGAGTTGATTCTGACTCATAGCGACCCCATGTGATACAGCAGAACTGCCGCACAGGATTTTCTTGGCTGTAATCTGTACAGAAGCAGATTGCCAGACCTTTCTCCTGCAGAGAGCCACTGGGTAGGCTTGAGCAGCCAACTTTCGGGTTAGCAGCCGAGTGCTTAACCGTTGCACCATCAGGGCTCATTTGCACCCTTCATAGAGGTTCTCAATAAGTGTCTATTGAGTGAGTGATTAAAAAAATTCTCCAGGCCTGATATCTAATCAAATCTAATTTTTCTCCCAACAAATATTTGAGGAAAAAGAATGACTTTATTAGCTATGAAGCAAAAGTAGATCAGGAAGGTATGGTTTCTAGAGAGGCATTACTAAAATTAACACTAATAATGAGTGAATGAATGAAAGAATGGAATTACCTTGTATTGAACACTTACTATATGCTAGATGCTGCTCTAAGTTTATGTGTCATTCATAAAGTAATCCACAAATTGGAACCTCAAAATTTCGGATTTTAACACTGTCTGGGAAAAGCACTTATATTTTTTTTGTCAGTTTTAGATTTACAGACTTTTAGAGGGTAAGACCTCCAAAATTTAAGTTTGTTGTTTCCTTTGTACTCCTTAGCACTTGTTTTTTTCCACTAAATGCCAAACAAATATTTGTTATCTTAAATTAACAAAGTTATCTGTTGCATATACAAAAATTTCTGCCAGTTTTCAAATAAAGAATTTCTAATGCTAACCATGGATTTTCTGAATTATTTTTCTGAATTAACTTAGAAAATACTGGAATAGTTTGGGAAAAGTGTGGAAGTAAATGAAATTTTGGTGCCACTAGCTTTCCATGGAATATCAAGATAGTTTTCAGTTGGTGATAATTTTTTGGTTTTTAATAACTACTTGTAGGTGATTAGACCACATGCACATAAGCCATAGGATATGTACTGGAAATGAGCAGAGAAATTTAAATCAGGTTTTGGTTTTTTGAAGGATTGCTTCAGAAAGGATTCATGGCCATTACATAACTAGTAGCTTTTGAGTTCTGTTAGTGATTTTCTTGTACAGATAATGGAAGGAGAAAGATTCTATGTTCAAAAAAGTTCAAAATATGGGCATAAACAGCTGTCTGTACTGCAGAATTTCTCAAGCCTGTAATATGCTATATGTTCAGTGAATCACCAATAACATGTATCATTCCCCATATTTGTTTGGTATCATAGAGCCTTTTTCCCTCCTTTGGAAAACCTATTGACATCTTGCAAATATTTCAAAGAACACAATTTGGAGAAACTATGGTATTTAGATTGTGAGGATGCAGAAAACATACATATGATTTTCCAATCTTTGTTATGGAAAAGCAAAAGTTTTGTGGGGGCAATATCTATCCAGGTTGGATTCCCTGGATGGTGCAAATAAAATGCACTTGGCTGCTAACTGAAAGTTTAGAGGTTCGAGTCCACCCAGAGGCACCTTGGAAGAAAAACCTGGTGATCTACTTGCAAAAAATCAGCCACTGAAAACACTATGGAGCACAATTCTACTTGACACAGATGGGGTCACTGTGAGTCAGAATTGACTCAATGGCAACTCATTTTTTTTTAAATATGTGCAGGTTAAAGCAAAAGCCCATAAGGATTCTGTCTCCTTTTAATATCCTGTTCCTTAGGTCTGAGCAAAAATTCTAATTTAATAGAGAAGGATGCTCCATATCACTGTCTCATTGTTGAATTTTTCACCCTCCTTTGGCCCAAGGCAGGAAGTCTCCAAATTCTCTAGTCTCTGAATATTCCATAATGGCATTAATCCATACAAGAGATCAATACAACCTTACTGGATCTCTTACAGTTCCATAACATGTATTCTACCTTCCGGGCCAACTAGACCCATTGTTTTCTGAACACATCATCTTCTTTTTTCTCTTTCTCTTTCCTTTGTCTAGCATATCCACCCATTCAGCTCCCTATGTTGAAATTGGACCATTATTTATTTAATACCTATTTAATAAGGTTTACTCTATGCAAGGGACTAATTAGGCTTGTAGTTTTAAAAAAAGATGTTCATAGAATATCTTGTGTGTCCCCTAGTTGGGCATGAACTCCTTTCAACTGTCTTAGAATATTTTATATCTATATATAATAGTTTAGTTCTTTGTACTAGACATTTTATCATCTCATGAGGAAAGTGATAAAGAAAAATAAACAAGAAATGACTTAATTTGGTGTGCAAAAATTAATATTAATACTCTATTTGCTGTCAGAGTCAATATTTAACCTATGTTGATAAGGGCCTTAGTTATCTAGTACTGCCATAACAGAAATACCACAACGGATGGCTTTAACAAACCAAAATTTATTTTCTCACAGTCGAGGAGGCTAAAAGTCCAAATTAAGAGTGCCAGCTCTAGACAAAGGCTTTCTCTCTCTGTCAGCTCTGGTGAAAGGTCCTTGTCTCTTCCGATTTTGCTTCCTGGTTCCTTGGAGATCCTCCTGTGTCTTGGCATCTATGTTACCCATCTCTGCTTGCTCCCTTCCTTGTTTAATCTCTTTTATATCTCAAAAGAGATTGGCTCAAGACACACCCTACACGAATCCTTCTTCATTAACATACCAAAGATAACTCATTCCCAAATGGGATTATAACCACAGGCATAGAGGTTGGGATTTGCAACACATATTTTTGGGGGACATAATTCAATCCATAACATCCCACCCTTTGGCCCCCCAAAATTCATGTCCTTCCCACATGCAAAACACATTCATCCCATCTCATCATCCCAAAAGTCTTAAATCAACTCCAAGTCCAAAATCTCATCTTCTGATGAGTCTAAATCAAATATGGTTAAGACTTCAGGCATATTTCATCCTGGGGCAAAATTCCTCTTCATCTGTGAACCTGTGAAATCTAGAATACAAGTTGCCTGCTTTCAAAGTATAATGGTAGAACAGGCACAAGGTAGACATTTCCATTACAAATGGGGGAAACTAGAGGAAAAGAAGGAATAACAGGAATCAAGCAAGGCCAAAATCCAGCAGAACAAATTACATTAGCTCTCAAGTCTTGAAAATAATCCTCTGTTCTCTGAGACCATCTGGGCAATGGCCTTGCCCTCCGGACTATGGGTGTTGGCCACGCCCTCTGGATTCTAGGTAGAGGGCCCTCAGCCCTGGGCTTCAGCTCCGCCTTTCAGGCCCACTGGGATGGCAACTCTGCTCACTTGGCTTTGGGCGTCCCCATTCTCCTAGTACATCATGAGTGGTGACCCTCAGCCCCAGCATGCCCCATTCTTCTGCCCTCTGGGCATGGCAACCCCACCCTCTTAGCTTTGGGTGGTGGCAAAGATCCATTGTGGCCCCACCCTTTGAGATCCAGGAGACCATGGCACTGCCATCTGAAACCGAGAAGGCCCTGCTTCTCATGCTCCTTCCAATAGTTCTGCTGATGTCTGAGCTGCTCCAGGGATGATTCTTTTCTTTTCTTGAAGGACAACAAATGTAGCTCCTTTGGGCTGTTTCCTGCCTGTAGAATTCCAAGAGACAGACAACCTCTTTCATTCTTTCTCGTCCCCTTCAGTCTAAGCAGTTGGGTTTTCTGCTGTGGTAGTTGGTTAGATCCATCAGTCACAGGCTTAATCTGTTTAACAAAAGTTTGTGTAGCCATGTCCTTGGTGAAAGTTCTAGGACTCATATCCTTAGTTTGTACAACAGAATTTTCCAAATCTTTAAGTTCTTTTTTCATTTTGCACAGTTAATTTTTAAGTTTGTCTCTTTTCCTCTTGCATTTTACTATAAGCGAGAAGGAGAAAGCATGTGGCCCCTTTAAGATCTTGCTTAGAAACCTCATCAGCCAAGTAACCAAGTTCATCACTTGCAAGTTCTACCTTTCAACAAACATTTGCACATAATTAAGACAAATTCTTTGCTACTGCATAAAAAGCATTTTCCTTCTTCCATTGTCCAGTCACACGTTCATCATTTTATTTTAAAGCCTCACCAGAAACACATTTAACATCCTCATTTCTAGCAATATTCTGTTGCTGGTGCCATATGTATTCTCTAAGATGACAGAGACTTTCTCTATAGCTCTCCTCACTTCCTTCTGAGCCCTCACCAGAATTGCCTTTGACATCCATAATTCTACCAACAGTCTCTTCAAGGCAATCTAGGCTTTTACTATTAGGCACCTTAAAACTCTTCCAGCCTCTACCCATTACCCAATTCCAAAACCGCTTCCATATTTTAGGTATCTGTAAGAGCAGCACCCCCGCTTCTTGGTACTAAATTCTGTCTTAGTATCTAGTGCTGCCATTTCAGAAATACCACAGGTGGATGGCTTTAACAAACAGAAATTTATTTTCTCACAGTTTAGGAAGCTAGAAGTCCAAATTCAGAACACCAGCTCTAGGGGAAGGCTTTCTTTCTCTGTCGGCTCTGGAGGGAGTTCCTTGCCTCTTCAGCTTCTACTTCCTGGTTCCTTGGAAATCTTCATGTGTCTTGGCATCTATTTTACCCAGTCTCTGCTTGCTTCTTTGCTTGTTTAATCTCTTTTATATCTTAAAAGAGACTGACTCAAGACACACCCTACACTAATCCTTCCTTATTACCAAAACAAAGACAATCCATTGCCAAATGGGATTATAACCACAGGCATCCCGTTGCCCTCAAGTCAATTCTGACTCATAGTGACCGTATAGGACAGAGTAGAATTGCTCCATATGGTTTTCAAGGAGTGGCTGGGGGATTTGAACTGCCGACCTTCTGGTTAGCGGCCAAACACTTAACCACTGTGCCCCTAACCACAGGCATAGAAGTTAAGATTTACAACTCATATTTTTGGGGGGAGCACAGTTCAATCCATAACAATAAGCTTATTTGATAATCACTTGCTGGCCTCTTTTAATCCTTTTTTTTTTTTTTAATTCTCTTTATATAGGAAAAGATAAGATTAAAGTGTCTGAGGATGACTTGAAGAAACTCCTTCTAATTAAATGGTGTGTTTTGGAAACCATTCGTTTAAGAGCCCCTGGTGTCCTTGTTAGAAAGGTGGTGAAGCCGGTCAAAATTTTGGTGAGTTATCAGCCTTCTAGAAATAAAAAAAAGTCATGTTTTGCCCACACATCATTAGACAAAGCTTCTTGTTTCATTAAGCACTAAGTGACCATGAAGAGGTTTCTAATAAGAGTTGTACAGCATGTTAATATTTCATTAATATGCTGATAGGTATTTGGGCTAAAATGTAACCTTTGATAACCATTTTGATCATCTGATTCTGTATTAGGATTAGTGTAATCTTATTTAAATCAAGAAGGTGGGTTGGATACTCTCTTCTCTGCTGAACAATCAGCAAGTATTCCGGAACAGCAACAGGCTGAGGAATTCAGGGTGTAAAGGAAGTTCTAAATAGAAAATATGTGGATAAATGGAAGGCAGTTTCAGGCCACAGATCACAGATATGGGAACAGATATTAGAAATGCCATGGATTATCTTAATACTAGGGGTCAGCAGCTGAGTGAGGGAGAGAGGTGTTTTCTATGGGCAAAGTAGGAGAAAAGTCTGAGGTGTACCATGGAAAGCATGGGCTCACAGCAGACTTTCAGGTAATAGTTGGTGACTCAATCAGTCAGAAGAAAAAGCTTTTTTTTAGAAAGACTTGACTTAGGGCCTATATTATTGAGATAGATTGCACTCTCATTCACTTTTTTATATACAGATTGAGAGTGGAGCAAACCAAGAAAATTTTGCAGTGGTAGAAGACAAGAAACAAAAATCCAGCTTGTCAAGGTTGCAACTTGCTAAATTCAAAGGAGACATAGTTTGTTTAACTAATTTTACATAAATTATAGCATTTAGTTTTAGTGGTATCTTGGTAGTTTTTTATTTTAAGTGAGTAAGTTACTGATTATTTTAAGCTATAAGTATAAAAAGAATATGCCTTGAGAAGAATTAGCCAAACAGCTTGGTGCAATTAAGTAGAGCAATGTGCTTATTACCCTGAATACTACTATAATTCTTACTGAACATTTATTAAAGCTCAGTTATATGCTGGTTAGTAGATAATTAGCTGAATTACAGGCTAATTATTTATCTCTGTGAATATCTTGGTTGTTGTTTGTAGCATACAGATCTCATATATATTTGGTTAGGTTTAAACCAAAATATTTCATTTATTTTGCCACTGTCGTAAATGATATTTCTTAAAGTTTTGATTTCCAATTGTACATTGCTTGTTTATAGAAATACAATTGATTTTTGTGTGTTGACCTTGTACCCGCAACCTTGCTAAACTCAGCTGTGAATTCCCTATAACAATGTTTTTTTTTTTAAGTTAAAGATAATAGATATCCAAAACAATTCAAGACACTATGATAAAAAATGAATAGTCTTTTACCTGCACTTCTTCACTCCACGGTTTTCTTCCCAGAGGACATGAGGCTCAGATATATCTATGCTCCTTCCAAGCTGGCTGTAGTTTTCTCAGTAGTAGAGCGGCCCTGGACATGTGCTCAGACTACTGTCTTCTGAGAATGCCCCAGCATTTCCTTTTATTATTTTTCACAATGTCTTTTTTTTAATATTTGTGAAGGTTTCAGTTTTTCCTGCATTTACTATTTATTTTCTAAATAAAATGAACACAGCCTTTCCTCTAAAGAAGCCAAAACTAATCACTATAAAGTCCTACCTGCAAAGTTGAGACTTTAAAAATGATACCTTGCACAGCTTTACCTTCCTATTAAATAGGTAAAACATGGTAATGAGGGAAAAAAAGGAGACCATAAAAAGAAGTAAAAAGAAAAAAAAGTTTCTTAAAATTTCACAAGTCAGAAATAACTGTGAATATTTTGATATTATAATTTCAGATTTTTTATCCTCTAGTATGTACATCTTTTAAGAATTCAGTTGAGATCATACTATGCTAATTGTTTCATAACCTGCTTTGATTTTATTTAATAATAGTTCATGAATGGTTTTCTATATCAATAAAATGTATCTATACCACTTTGAACTGCAGCATGATAATTTATGAGTGTACTATAATTTTTTAAATCAGTTTCCTAATCATAAATATGTATGTGGCTTCCAGCTTTTTATTATTATAAACATTGCCAAAATGAACATTCTTAAAGCTAAATCCTTATGTACATTCATAATAATTTCCTTAGTATAAATTCATACAACTTCGTCCTTTTTTTTTTTTTTTATTGTACTTTAGATGAAGGTTTACAGAGCAAACTAGCTTGTCATTAAACAGTTAATACACTTTGTTCTGTGACATTGGTTACCAACCCCACAACACGTCAACATTCTCCTCTTCTCAACCTTAGGTTCCCCATTACCAGCTGTCCTGTCCCCATTTTCCCTCTTGTCCTTGCCCCTGGGCCGGTGTGCCTATTTAGTCTTGTTTTGTTTTGTGGACCTGTCTAATCTTTGGCTGAAAAGTGAACCTCAGGAGTGACTTCATTACTGAGCTAAAAGGGTATCTGCGGGCCGTACTCTTAGAGTTTCTCCAGTCTCTGTCAGACCAGAAAGTGTAGTCTTTTTTTCTTTTTTTTTTGAGTTAGAAATTTGTTCTACATTTTTCTCCAGCTCTGTCCAGGACCCACTATGGTGATCCCTGTCAGAGCAGTCGGCGGTGGTAGCTGGGCATCATCTAGTTGTGCTGGACTCAGTCTGGTGGAGGCTATGGTAGTTGTGGTCCATTAGTCCTTTGAACTAATCTTTCCCTTGTGTCTTTGGTTTTCTTCATTCTCCCTTGCTCCAGATGGGATGAGACCAGTGGAATATCTTAGATGGCCACTTACAAGTTTTTAAGATCCCAGGCGCTACTCACCAAAGTAGAATGTAGAACATTTTCTTTATAAGCTATATTATGCCAGTTAAGCTAGATATTCTCCAAGACCATGGTCCCCACTGCCCTCGGCCCAGTAATTTGGTCCCTCAGGGAGTTTGGATGTGTATATGGAACTTTCATGACCTTGCCTTCGTCAAGTTGCCTGCTTCCCCAGTACTGTGTGCTGTCTTACCCCTCACCAAAGTTACCATTTATTTATTGTCTATTTAGTGTTTTTGCCTCCCCACCCCTCCCCTCTCTCATAACTATCAAAGATTGTTTCTTTTTGTGTGTAAATATTTTCATGAGTTTTTATAGCAGTGGTCTGATACAATATTTTTCCTTTTGTGATCGATCTATTTCACTCAGCATAATGTCCCCCAGATTTATCTGTGTTGTCAGATGCTTCGCAGATTCATCATTGTTCTTTATTGCTGCATAGCATTCCATTGTGTGTATGTACCATAGTTTGTTTATCTATTCATCTGTTGATGGGCACTTAGGTTGTTTCCATCTTTTTGCTATTGTGAGTAATGCTGCAGTGAACATGGGTGCGCATATGTCTATTCATGTGACGGCTCTTATTCCTCTATGATATATTTCTAGGAGTGGGATTGCTGGATCATATAGTATTTCTATTTCTAGCTTTTTAAGGAAGTGCCATATTGTTTTCCAAAATGGTTGTACTATTTCGCATTCCCACCAGCAGTACATAAGAATTCCAATCTCCCTACAGCCTCTCCAACATTTGTTATTTTCTGTTTTTTTGATTCATGCCAGTAATGTTGGGGTGAGACGGTATCTCATTGTGGTTTTGATTTGCATTTCTCTAATGGCTAGTGATTGCGAGCATTTCCTCATGTGTCTATTAGCCGCTTGAATGTCTTCTTTCGTGAAGTGTCTGTTCATTTCCTTTGCCCATTTTTAATTGGATTGTTTGTCTTTTTGTTGTAGAAGTGTTGGATTTTCCTGTAGATTTTAGAGATTAGAACTTTGTCTGATTTGTCATAACAACTTGGTCCTTTTAAGCTTGATACATTTTTTAAACCAGGCAGAATGTCTTTGCTGAACTAAAGTTTACATATATGTTCCCAGGAAATTGGATTATAGTCATCTATGTTGAATAGTGACAGAGGCCCATATTCTCTCTCCCATTGGACAACTGATCAAGGTTTCTTACAATGAATGCTAGATGTGTTCCCTCACTGCCCTTTCCCCATGTAGTCTGAGCAGGATTTTGGTATAAAGTTCATCTGCAAGAATACCCAGAAAAAAATAACAAAGAACTGTAGAAAAAGAAGATTAATGAGGGAATACTAATTATCTTCTCAAGGTATTAAAACATGTTATAAAACTACAACAATTAAAACAGTGTGATACTTGTATCAGACCAGGCATTCAGATCAACAGAACAGACTGGATAAGTAGCAAAGAAACAAACAAACCCCTTTGTACACAAGAATTTAATATAGAATAAATGAATCATTATAAATCTATAAAGAGGGAAGAGACTAATATATGGTTTGGGAAGACTGATTAAAGTGGGTATTTTTTAAACTTCTAGAGTAGTGGTTCTCAAATGTTTTGGTCCCAACATCCCTTTGACTCTTCACAATTATTGAGGACCCCAAAGGGCTTTAGTCTGTTTGTTAAATCTATCAATATTTATAGTATTAAAAATTAAACTTAGAATTGTTAAAATACTTATTTAGTAATTCATTCAAAACTAACAAGAAACCTATTATATATTAACATAAATAACATCATTTTCTGAAGATAATTATGTTTTCCAAACAAAAACAATGCAGAAGAGCATTATTTTAAATTCTTTTGAATCTATTCAATGACTTTCTTTTTTTTAATTTTATTTATTTATTTTTTATTGTACTTCAGGTGAAGGCTTACAGAATAGTTTCTTATGAAACAGAAGTACACATGTTGTTTTATGACATTGGTTAACAACACCACAACATATCAACCCTCTAACTTCTCAAACTCTTTTTTTTTTTTTTGGTAAAAATACACATAGCCAAAAATACACCATTTCAAAAATGTCTACATGCACAGTTCAGTGACATTGACTATGCTCTTCGAATCGTGCTGTTATTCTCACTTAAGATGAAGGCTTACAGAACAAAATAGTTTCTCATTTAACAGTTACTACAAATGTTGCCCTATGACAATGGTTAACAATCTCACAACACATCAACAATATCCTTACTCAGCCTTGCGTTCCCTATCACCAGCTTTCCAGTCCACTTCTGCCTTCTAGCCCTTGTCCCTGGACTTCTGTGCCTCATTAGTCCCATTTTGTTTTATGGGGCTGTCCAATCCCCAGCTGAATGGTGAACCTCGGAAGTGACTTCACCACTGAGATAAAAGGGTGTCTGGGGGCCATACTCTCGGGGTTTCTCCAGTCTCCTTTAGGCCAGTAAATCTAGTCTTTTTTTTTTTTTGTGAGTTAGAATTATGCTCTACATCCTTCTCCAGCTCTGTCCAGAACCTTCTGTTGTGATCCTGGTCAGAGCAGTCAGTGGTGGTAGCCGGGCACCATCTAGCTGTACTGGACTCAGTCCAGTGGAGGCCTTGGTAGCTGTGGACAATTAGTCCTTCGGACTAATCTTTTCCTTGTATCCTGTTCTCTTCATTCTCCCTTGCTCCCGAAGGGTTGAGACCAGTGGAGTATCTTAGATGGCCGCTCACAGGTTTTAAAACCCCAGACAACTACTCACCAAGGTAGAATGTAGCGCATTGTCTTTATAAGCTGTGTCATGCCAATTGAGCTAGATGTTCCCCGAGACCATGGTCCCCAGAGCCCTCCGCCCAGCAATTCAGTCCCTCAGGGAGTTTGGATGTGTCTATGGGGCTTCCATGACCTTTCCTAGTACAAGTTGTGCTAGTTTCTCCTGTACTGTGTACTGTCTCACCCTTCACTTTAATGACTTTCTTAATAGAAGATACCTGGATTCTCATGTATGTGTTTGCAATCAGTCTGTTGTGATACATTGTTTTGGTTGAAGGATATGAAGAAAATCCACCCTCCCATAGACATGTAAGTGGAAAAGGGAGGAGTATTTTAATAGCCTTTTCAAATATTTGTGGATATTCTTTTATACTACACTAAAACTAAAGTGATAATTTCTTAAAGATTTGTTACAATGTGAAATCTAAAGAATATTTTGTACTTAGTTTGATTAAAATCCATTGGTTTATTTTATTATAGTTTGAATGGATCTTTTATCCAGGAATGATTTTGACTTTGTGGACTCTGAAAAAAGTTTTAGGGAGACTTTTTAGTGAGAACTGCTGCTGTAGAGAGAAAAGGGCTGCCTGTGTTGTTAATTAATTAATGAAATCACAAGGAAGATGAACAGATTTGACTGTATCATATAAAAATGTAGCACATCTTATTTTAGAAGTATAACTCAAATTAAATTTAAACCAAAAATTAAGGAAAAAATCTATGTAATTAAAACGCATGAGTAAATAATTTTAATATTTAAAGAACTCATGCAGCTAAATAAGTAAAGCACTAATATCACATAGATTAATGGGGACAGGACATGAACACAGAAGTTTATAGGCGAAAATAACTTGTTGACATAGAAAATGTTCAACAAAGTCATAAAAATTTAAATAGCAACCAAAAAGAATCCATTAAAAATGTCAAATTGGGAGAAAGAGGGCAATGAAACTGACACTCTTATATGTTGCAGTTAGAAACATATTTTGCTACAAAATTTGAGCATTTAGTTGAATAATGTATTAAGAGCTTAAAAAATATACATGTCCATTGCCTTATCAACACCTATGTTAAAAATTTATATAAAATATGCTCTGTGGAAGAAGATGCTCTTGATGGCATTATTTATTATAGAAAATTATGGAAATGATTAAGTTAATCATGGTTTCATCTTCTCGATGAACAGTAAACCATGATTGGAGGGAAAATTATTCATAATGATCATAAGGTAAAAAGAAAAAACATTTATTTTATAATGTTACGTGTTCTCCAGTCTGGGATCCACTGTGGTTTCCATCACTGGGGCACTTGCTGTAAACCCCAGTATCGCATATCAAAAGCTACATTAGAGTGGATTTATACTCAATTCTAAGGAACCCTAGTGGAACAACAGTTAATCGCACGGCTGCTAACCGAAAGGTTGGCAGTTTAAACTCACCCAGTTGCTACACTAGAGAAAGACCTGGCAATGTGTTGCCGTAAAGATTACAGCCTAGAAAACCCTGTGGGGCAGTTCTACTCTGTCACATGAGGTCATTATGGTCGAAATCGACTCAACAGCATCCAACAACAACATATTCGATTCTAAAATTTGGAGGTTTACCTGATATTTTCACCGTGTGTAACCAAATATATACGGAGACCTGGTGGTGTAGTGGTTAAACACACTGCTGCTAACCAAAAGGTCAGCAGTTTGAACCCACCAGCCTCTCCACAGGAGAAAGATGTGGCCTTGAAAACCCTATGGGGGCAGTTCTACTCCTATAATCGAAATCAACTCAATGGAAATGGGTTTAGCTAAATGTGTACGTATATGTAACTAATAATCAGAATTAGAAAGTAGTGATTACCTAAATGGGAAAGTAGAAATGACATGTCCAGGAAAGTGTTGGATTTTCTCACCATCAGTTATAAAATGTGTATGTCTTCACCACAGTATAGTTGTAGCATTATTTTTAATGACTCAAACTCTCTTAAAATCAGATTTTAAAAAATGATTTCATACCTATTTTCTGTCTTAGAATTACACTGTTCCTTCTGGTGACTTGTTGATTTTGTCTCCCTTTTGGCTACATAGAAATCCAAAGTATTTTTCTGAACCTGAGTCATTCAAACCTGTAAGTTATCTTTTTCAATATAAATTGTCCTTTGATTTTAATGTCTTTTTGGGCAGAGGGTATGGATTGATAAATCAAATAGGACTATGTCATTAAGCAGCTATATTTCTCTGGTAACTCAGAACCAAGTTGCTTACAAAATGCAGATTAGATTACTAATATAGAGGACTTTCTGGAATAAGCTTCCCCAACTTTAAAATTAAAAATTTACCTGCAACTAGGAAGGCAAGTTAAAGTAAATATGCCTAGTTCTAATGGAAGACTTGTTTTCATGTTCTTCAGGCAATGCTTCTATTATTGGCTTCTAAGTAGTACAAAAAATAAAGCAAATTAAAATTGTGTTCTACTATGTCTTAGAACTGTGGAGTTATAGGGCTGAACAGAATCCTAAGAGGTTGTTTAGTCTGTGCTATGCCTTCAGGTAAAATTGTCAGAAATGGCATCCAAATGTATTCACTCTGCATCCCAAGCTTTTCAACAAGCAGGCCTGTCAGTGTCTTATTACTAAACTTGTTACCCTGGGCAATTTTATGATGGAGCCTGAGACCTTCTTATAAATATTCTTCCACTTCAGAGGTCAAGTCTGTAGGTGATTTACATTATCATTTGCCTTTGCTACTTAACAGAATTCTTTTCAAGGCTTTTATTTATAAGTGCGTGTTCCAAAAACACAATTGTGTCTGATGTTAATAACAGATTGGGGGGTAAAAAATACAAACTACCAACAACCATGCAACTTTATATGCAGATAAGTACAAGGTCATTTTTAGCCTAGAGAAATGAAGTTAAGCTTATTTATCTAAGGCTGATTTGGAAAAAAAATGCTTTCTTCCCACAGGAACGTTGGAAAAAGGCAAATTTAGAGAAGCATGCTTTCTTGGACAGCTTCATGGCATTTGGAAGCGGGAAGTACCAGTGTCCTGGAAGGTCAGTAAGACAGCTGGGCCACATTTATCCAGAGAGTCTGCAGAAGAATGATGGCTCAGAGGGAGAGGCCTTGGCTTGATCCCCCTTTTCTTTATTATCAAACTACAGGGCTATCCAGGAGACCACATTTTGTCTGATTGGCCAGTCATACTATGTGATGTTTTTGTGGGAATGTCTAAAGTAGCTTTTGATAGACCATGAGAGGAAAATACTGTACTTGGAACTGCCAGATAAAAACAGGGTTTATGGTTCCAATGCTCAGCTTTCATATAAGGGAAATTAGAAGTGGTTTGAGTTCCACCTTTTTTAAAATAAAAGTTGTTGTTGTTAGGTGTCATCAAGCCAATTTCAACTCATAGCGACCCCATGGGACAGAGAAGACCTGCCCCATAGGCTATTCTAGGCTGTAATCTTTACAGGAGCAGATTGCTAGGTCTTTTTCCTGCTGAGCCTCTGGGTGGGTTTGAACTGCCAGCTTGGTTGGCAGCCAAGCGCTTAAATGTTGTGCTATCAGGACTCCTTAAAATTAAAATAAATAAATACAAATGGAAGTATAATATTTCTTTAAATACAGCATTATCAAGGATGGTGGCTGGGGCTATAGAACATCTTTAGCTTGTTTTTTGTAAAATGCTTTCCTTTGATACCTTGTGTAGTTAAGTTTCTTCTTGGTGTGATGCCCTGTTATAGTGCATGTGTCCATCATTTACTGAAAATTATTTTATGTTTATTTATTCATTAACAGATGTTTTTGAACATTTGGCCTGTGCCAGGCCCTGTACTAAGCACCAGGGATAGGGCACTGATGAAGACAGATATGGTCCCTGACTTCATAGAACTTACAGTCTACATTAAATATGTCCCGTTTTTTCATTGGTGATAATTCTGTTGGAGAAATGTTGGTACTATTCATAACAAAATCTTACTCAAAGAATGTATATACATCCTTTTAAAATCCCATATCTGAAAAATTGGAGTTTCTTGATTGAAGAACTCAGTTGTCCTCAATGAACAGTAATGAAAATTCATATTTGTGATTATGACTTACTCTACAGCATCCATTCTATCCCTCCTTTGTTTTATACCAATATGTTGCTAGTAATTTATATTTCTCCCCCCAGGCTGATCCTATTTAGTCTAAGCCAACCACAGGAATTATATCTCCCTTTTTAGAAATTATCCAGAAACCTAAGCCTAAGCAAAACTGTACATTGTAATTGAGTGTCAGATATTGTAGGGGTGTTAGCATAACAAACAGTAACAACAAAGTTCATCCTCCTCTGTATTATTTTCACTTAAGAGAAGCAGTTCTTAAAACAATTCTAAAAGCAATAGAAAATGTTACTTTTTCCAATTCCTTTGCCATATATTTTCAATAGCAACTAAAGAGTTTATTATAACCCTCATTGAAAGTGAGCTGGAAGTATTTTAAATTAAGGACTAAATGCTTTGCAGTGATGCGTGTAGTATGGGCCAGTGGTCAAAGATTAACTGATGACTGTTGTTTCTAAGAGGGGCTGTGAGTTTCACACTAAGGGATACAATTAAGAGGGACCACTTCCAAGACAAATCTGTCTTGGAAGAAGTACAGCCAGAATGCTCCTTAGAAGCAAGGATGGCTAGACTTCATCTCATGTACTTTAGACATGTTATCAGGAGGGACAAGTCCCTGAGGAAGGATATCATGCTTGGTAGAGTAGAGGGTCAGCAAAAAAGAGGAAGACCCTCAAGAAGATGGATTGACACTGTGGCTGCAACAGTGGGCTCAAACATAGCAACAATTGTGAGAATGGTGCAGGACCAGGCAGTGTTTTATTCTGTTGTGCATAGGGTCACTATGAGTAGGAACCGACTTGATAGCACCTAATAACAACAACATGACACTTCAACTCAATCAATAGTATCTAATTTATACAGAAGCTGCATACTTTTAAAATTCACTGAGCTTTTACTATATGCAAAGGCTTCACACATGACTAAGACATGTTCTCAGCTCTCAAGGGATGACATCTTGGTGAGGGCAAGGAGGTTGCCAGTTTCATAAGCAAACACAAAGAATGCAGGATGAGACACGCAAGCGCCACACTGTGGAGATTCAAGAGAGAGGGTACATCTAGTCAAGGTGGTCTTAGAACATTTTCTGGGGAAAGTGGCTGTGGAAGGGCTGGACGATTTTCCAGACTGAGAAAACAGAATGAGCAAAGGGTCATTAAACACAGGGCTATGTAGGTTAAGTATTTATAGTTTTACTATTATCAGAACCAGATTACAGGTAGAAGAGTGGTAGGAAATAAGGCTGAAAAGGTACATTGGCCACATTGGAAAGGCCCCTTAATGCTTGATTTAGGAGTTTGTACTCAGCTCACTAGGCACTAATGAAGTATTCATAGGTTTTGGGTAAGAAATGATAGCAGAGAAATCAGTGGTGGGTAGAACGGATTAGAGTAGGACATGACTTACGTTATGTGGTCATGATAATATTCCATGTGAAAGACATGGAGTAGTAGAACCTACCAGATTTGGAAAATGAGTGAGGGTCAGTGGAGAAGGATTTGAGGAGGACTGTAGATTGAATCTCAGTGGCTGGAAAGATGGTGGAAATAGGGAAATCAGGCACATGAGCTAGTTTGGGTACAACGTGTTAAGTTTTCCTTTGAGGTGTGGCAAAATATATATCATAAAACCATATATCATGAATAAATATGACAATAAAAAACTCATTAAGTGTAGCTTTCTATTAAGTTTCTGTTTTAAAAAGCCCTTAATTCTAGTCTTCTCTTTTTTTCTGGGCCCTGGTGCATAGTAGTTAAGAGCCATGGTGTGCTACGGCTACAAACCAAAGAAAAGGTTGGCAGTTCAAATCCACTAGCCACTCCTTGCTCATTAAGTGTGGTTTTCTATTCAGTTTCTATTTTAAAAAGCCCTTAATTCTTGTTTTCTCTTATTTTAAACAGCCAACCCATAAAACGTTTTGTTTTTAAAGACAGAAACAAATATGAATGACTTCATTTGGACAATGTGTATATCAAGATAGATCTTTCCACTAGAAATTTAATCCCACAAACCCTTAGTATAAGCCCCAGAAAATTGTACCCGTTCTTAGTTTGTATACCAGGAGCCAATTCATTTTCTCATGTAGCAAAAATTCAGTGAGTCAGAGAAAGTTGCCTGTAATGTCACTGATCAAAATTTGCCATGGACACATATTCTTGTGTCCTTGCAGCTGTTACCTCTTGGAGTTCAGGCCACTGAGGCAGTATGAGAGTCCCTCTCACAAGTGAACACAGAAGGTTTTGCTGAGTTTACTAAATAAGTACTCATTGTTGCTACTGGCTGCCAACCAAAGATCAGAATGGAAGAGCTGTAGTTCCTACTCTTAATGATAGTGGGAGTTCTGAAAATAGCAGGGAAGATCCTGGGTACACATGGGAAGGAAAATCTTAGCAGGAATTCTATAGCTCAAGAAGTCTGGTGACTTTACAGAAAAACAAACAGGAGAAAGCAGCAGGAACCACCAAACGTCTTCAGCAGTAGTAGTTTGCAAAGTGAAGCATTTCATTACAGTGGAAATTCTCTCTTAAACTATGAGATTTAAATGGAGGAACAAGACGGGATTTCTAGTGAGAGAAAAACTCTGAGAGTTGATGATTTTAGCACAAAGGGATGTGCTATCCCAATAAGCTTGATTTTTCTTGGTTCTCATCCCTGCAAGAGGGTGCCTGGTTGGTTGTATCATTATGCTAATTGAAATGGGTTAAATTCCATTGTAAAACAATAGTCCTGACTGGACAAGGTTAGCACTCTTAGGCTTGCTTGGATAAGAAGAGGGAGTAGTAAGAATAAAGTTGCAGTACTTGAGAAATGGAAATGAAGCGTGGATTCCTGAGGAATAGAAACTGTGAGTTCTACTTTTATTTTCAGTGATTGGATTCTTCATAGGAACCCTCGTGGCGCAGTAGTTAAAGCACTCGGCTGCTAACTGAGAGGTCTGCGGTTCGAAACCACCAGCCGCTCCTCAGGAGAAAGATGTGGCAGTCTGCTTTCATAAAGATTTACAGCCTTGGAAACCCTATGGGACAGTTCTTCTCTTTTCTATACGGTCTCTGTGAGTCAAATCGACTCAATAGCAGTGGGTTTTTTAGTTTGGGTCCTTCATATATCTTAGGGCAGTGCTAGGCTTCAAAGTAATGGACTTGTCTCCAATAACTAATGAGAATTCCATAGCTTTTTGGAAAATTAAAGCATAGGTCCAGTTGACGATAGATTAGTTAATTTATTTTTTTTATTATTCCACATAACTAATGTCTCTTGAGCACCTAGAATTGATATGACCATCCTTGCATGCACTAAATATTTATTGAGGGCATGATATGTATCAGGCAGGTTTGTAGGAACTGGAGTTACCTTGGGAAACAGAGCAGATGATCATCTCTTCTCAAAGAGCTCATATTCTAACTCAAGCCACTTTTTTAAATACTGGGGAGATTCATAGATGCATAACACTTCTGAATCCCTTATAATGTAGTTGGGGAGATGAGACATAGCAACATGAAAAAAAAGTGCTATTCAACAGCATAAGATGGCATATAAGGAATACCAGATGACTCATATATGTAATAACTGTCATAGGAGTTTGGAGGAAGGGGGATAGAAAAGACTTTGTGGACTAGATGGGAATAATCAATGAACAACATGGAAGAAAGTACAATTATAGGAGAAACACAGCGTGACTTTAATGGAGGAGTTAAACTTGGGACAAAAGTGTTAGTTGGCCATTTCCAAGAAAACTGACAAAAAGTTTCTCCAATTTTGCATTGTTTATATTATTATTTCTTCCAGACAGTAATGGATATCCACCTATTTATTTAGCAAACATTTATTGAGAGCCCAGAGTTCACACAAGAGTCCACATTCAGGTATCAGCCTTCAGTGAGGTTAACAAATTAAGTATCCTGTTACTTTGGGGGCTCCATGTACTATTCTTATTTTCATCATGCTGT